TAAGACTTTCTAAAAATAGAAATTTGCTTTTAAATTAATCTTTGAAATATTTCCTGACAACGGCGCCAAAAACTTAATCCCGAAACTACTTGTATGCAACAGTATAACAATATATGCGATTATATTTTCACTTATATTTCCTTAATTTACTATAGTACCAAAAACTTGATCCTGAATAAAATAAGAATTTAACTCTTTAATTTATATATATATTGGGATATTACGCAAATCAAGTAATATAAGACTTTTTGATTAAGCCCCGAATATCGATCACACGGGGAAAATATGCAATATGCACTTTCAAACAACAAACTTCTATTTTAAAAAGACATATTTTCAAACAACAAACTTCTATTTTAAAAAGACAATTACTTAAACTATAGATAGTTTGACAGTAATTAAAATTCAAACAATTTTGGTATTTTTGATATTTTCACAAAACAGTAACAACTTCTAAATAACTTGAGTTTATGTAAAAGAAAAGCACAGATTATAAAAATATATTTCACCTTTTCATGAATTAGTAATATGTACATGAATTCTGTTGTGGGAGTATGCGAATTGTGTTGTGCCAAATATAAACAATAATATTTTTTACCCTTACTAGAGATGCTATAAAGAACATTTGCTAATTTAAAGTTTGAATAGTTCTGAAGACTTGTTATGCAGGGAAGACACCAGCTCTCTCTAGAGTTCACTCGATTCCCTCCACTTAGGCGCTAACATCTCATATCATAACCTAAAATAATAAACCAAGTTGGGGGCTTTAACCTGTCACTTTAAAGTCCTCTAACTCTACACCCTTCAAAGATTATTTTCTTATTTTTTACACTAAATCCTATGAATTACATTCTCATTCATACAACCACATGTGATTCTTTCCAATTGTTGACTGAGATAATACCAGCCCGGTTCTTATATGTTATCACAACAAATTTTAACATCTGGATAGACCAAATCAAAAAGTAAATGAAGTACATGGATTTAAATCATCACAACTTCTTCCAACATTAAAGATCAATACCCTCCACAACTTTCATCCAATACTTTTAATTACTTATCATTTTAAGGAGAAATATAGAGAAAAAAACTCAAAATTAATGGAAAAAATAAAAACATACTTTAGCTTAAAAGTAGAAATCATTGTCAAACCAACAAGAAATCTCAATTAAAACTAGAAGTAGTTCAAAATAAAAGATAAAAATTTATCTCAAATCCTCCATCAAACTCTTGAAGTTCCTTTGAATCTCTTCTCTTTTACAACCCCCCCCCCCACACTTGATTTTTATTTTTTCACTATTCTAGTTAAAATTTAATTCTGTCATTGCCACCATCGATACCAACACTAATGGATGCTATGAATAGCAAGGCAAACTCTTATTATTGGCATTGATGGTAACACCCATGATCATAAAAAAAATGACGCCCATTATTGCCAATAAATCAATATTTTCCATGGTCAATAAATAGTCACCAACCACCAACACTAATGTCGCACTTGCTTTATACACCAATGCTAATGTTTCTTGTTGCCAATAAAACCAACATCTACCATTAACGCCACTATTAATGCTTGCCATTAACATCGATGTTGATTCCTGCTAATAACACTAAAGCTAATGTTTTCCATCATCAATAAATTTGACATCTATCATCGATATCAACAATGACACCCGTCATTTTCATTAAGGCCGACACTAATCTCGATACCTATGGTGCATCAACATTCCATTTTAAAGAAATATACCATGTTTCCATGCTTAAAATACAAAATTCATGGGACAAGCCTTCGACAAATTGATCAAGCCATCCATGTGCCTAATTAAAAAGATGAAGAAAAAAAAATTAACTTAAATGTCTAACATGTCTGACATGTGTCTCCCTAAATTATTTAGTTTATATACTTGATTCTAAATAGTAGTGCCCTATTTTTACTTCTTAAAAGTCTCATCCCCTTTGAGTGAGATCCAACATCAAATTTGCAACCCCCTAAATGTCTGTCACTTCCTTTTTAATGATGTAAATTGTCATTATTCTTTTAATTTTATGTCATATAAATTTTATAAAAGGTAAGGGAATATTTGTTTATTTTCTTCATATCTTCAAATATAATATTTATTTATATAATAATAATAATAATATTAAAAAATTCTTTTCATTTTTTTTATTTTGAGCAAATACTATATAATATTTTTAACTTTTAAAATAATTAAATTATATTGCTATGTTAAAAATATATCTATGCCCTATATTTTCAATAAATATATGTCTTGTATTCTTAATCATGTCATGTCTTGTATTCATAACTTAACTCCAATGTTTGCACACATTATCATCAACATGACTAACACATGCTATTGTCATCAAGGTAAATGCCCCACTATATCAAGGTTAATGTCTAACTTCTTGATTTCTAATCTCCCCTTTTATAAAGACGATAAAATAAATAACAAATAATTTTGTAATGAGAATTCCAGTATCTCGTGACTCTTATTCCTTACATCATCAATGCCATCTTTAATAATACATATCCAACATTTCATGAAGTTTAAACCAAGATGAAAATATTTAACACAAGATCATCACTTGAAAATATCTCACCAAAAAAATCACCCATTGGAGAGTATTGATTAAGAGAGAGCAAAGGATGTTCCTTGTAGATGCTTGGAGTAAGAGAGGGCTCTAGGAATGTTGGCCAAGTGAAAAGAAATCTAGTAATCGAGAACAATTTGACCGAATTTTGTTATGATTTTTGACATCAAACTTGATTAACCTAGCCATATACCCCGATTATAATAGAATTTTGGTCAAACATGAGAGAATTGAAGGGAAATAATTTTTAGAAAGTTTTTGAGATTTAAGAATAACATAAACCAAGAATAAACAATGGGAAGGGCGATCAACCATGATCTAATATGAAAGATTAGATTTATTTTGCCACTTCATCAATCCATAGATCGATCAAATTGACCAATGAGAAGTATGAGAATTTTAATTAAAGTAAACATGAAAGGGAATTTCAGCCCACGATGGATTAAATTAATAAATTTTATCATCAATCAAGAGATTTAGTTTTTACAAAAATAATTTGAACTTTTTGAAAACCTTCTTAAAATAAACTTTATTATATAATGAAAGATATCATGCATAAAATCTTAGGAAATGATTTGAATTTTGAATTTGAATTTTAAAGCTCTTTATGAAATAATAATATAGCCATAAATATTTGAGAAAATTCAAATTATATCAGACATAGTAAATTTGGAGACATTAGGACAATATCAAATAAAGTAGACAATTAATTAATGCAAGTGAGGAAAAGAGGATAATATTTAATTTAAATAGAAATTGATTATTCCAATAAAAATAATGCTATTACTTTGAGTATATATATTAATTAATTTCAAGTGCAAATAACTTAGAAAATTGGGCCAAAATAATTTTGAATCTTATCATTTAACTTATATATTATTTAACTTATATAATTTCAAGTGCAAATAACTTATCATTCAAAACAATTATCTCAGATTTTGAATCTCTTAAAATAAGAAAATTTCACCTCTTATGAGTTGCTCTCAATTTCTCTTGGTGCAATATTTGCATATATTATCAAAATAATAAATACTTGTTACTATTGTGAATAACCCAATAGACAACAATCACCAAATTAAAATCATAATAAGCTTCTTTACCATTTTTACCAAATTTAAAGTACAATCAAACTAATGCCCTGTTTGGGGCAGCTTATTTGGTGAGGTGCGATTTGAAAACGCACTTATGACCGTTTGAGTAAACTGCATTTTAATAGGTTATTAAAAAGCTACATTTTTAAACCACTGAAATCAACGTTTTTACATTGTTCCTGGCCAGGTGCGGTGGCAACGTTCTAGCTGCGGTCCGACATTTCCAAAAAAAAAAAAAATTGTAATAGCCACCACAAATCTTTGAATAAACAAATTATTTTTCAACAACTTATCTGCCCCCAAACAGACCCTTTAATGGTTTTTTAGTCACTCGCACTAAAATTTAGCTATCATTTTTCTTTTTTTTCAATAAATAAATAAATGACAATTACAAAATAATACTTTGGACAACAAATTTAATCACATTTTTATTTTCCGTAGCACAAACCTTTTTCACTTCACCCTAAAAAAAACAAATATATATATATTTGGGGCAGCTTATTTGGTGCGTTACGATTTGAAAACGCACTCATAACCGTTTGAGTAAACTGTATTTTAACAAGTTATTAAAAAAACTCCATTTTTAAACCACTAAAATAAATGTTTTTACATTGTTCATGACCAAGTGCGGTGGCAGCACTATACCTGAGGTCTAACTTTTTCAAAAAAAATAAAAAAAATTTATAATAGCCGCCGCAAATTTTTGTATAAACAGCTT